GTACTTAAGCGATTCCATTTGCAAGCTAATAAGGGCATATGAAACAAGTCCCCCAAAGACTTTACAGTGCCCTGTTGGCAGGGCACAGAATGGACTGGGGTTTATCTTGTTTTGCCACAAAAGAAAATTGGAGCTGGAGGTGAGGAGGAAGGGAAGAGGAGGAGGAAGAGGCAAGAGTAGGAAGGAGTCCTTGGTCCTGGGTGGCTCTCAGGGACGAAAGATCTTACCGTGAGTACAAAACACTGATTCCAATTTGTTTCTGAGTGAAAGAACAGCAAGCAGGAGAAACGGGGTGGTTTTGATAACCTTGTAGCGGGGGTTCACGCTTTTGTCTTTGGCTAAAGGGCAGCCTCCTGGAGACAATTCGATGTTACTCAATTTCAGGCAGTTCTATCCGAATCAGTTTCTCCTTCTTTGGAAGCTGTCAGAGTGATAGCAAACCCGCTCCTTGTCAGTAAGCAATCCATGATATGTTTTCCCTCTGTTTCCTCAGAGCTATAAAAAACAGCTTTGGGGACTCCTCCCCAAGTCGTCCCCCCCCCATACAGCTTTTAAAAATTGTTAGTGCTTTAAGCTTTTCAGCTTTCACACTCCAAATGTTGCGTCTTGCTGTGGCTTTGTAGAAAGAAAAGGATTTAATGGATGTTATTTTTAACAGCAGCTGGGATAAAGGTGGGTATTATCGCTAATACTGGAGAGGCAGCCTATGGATTCAAGCATTTGATAACAGAAGGGGGTCATTGGCTCCTACAAGCTGATGAGCACTAACCCACCAGCTGCCTTACAGCCAGAGCTGTAATTTGGCCTGCATCCTACGTGAACTTGGGTTAATGCCATTGTTTCCTTGCGCAGAAGCCTTTTTATTTACCGGAGACTTCAGTTGCTTTGTGACTGGAGAGGAATCATGCTGTAAGAAGCTGGGCTGTCTGGATGGGAGAGTCTGTTGAACCTAGCACAGCCAATAGGCCAGGGCTGAATTTTCTACTCTGATCACATCAAAGAAGAGTAATTAACTTTCCCAGAAGGCATCTCAACTTGGTAATGACTGTAAAAATATATGTAGAAAGAATGGGTGTCTCTATAAACCTCCGTATTCATAAGCATTTTCTTTTAGTTGGGAAATGTTTCTTATCAAATGGGGACGTTACAGGAACACTGGAGTTTCAGTAGGCATGTGTGTGCCATTTTTTGATTGAGTCACTTGTACTAAAATGGGGTTTTGGTGTTGGTGTTGAAAATGTTTAATGAATGAACTTAATGTTATTTCTGCTACCTTATTGTTCAGCTGCGATAATATACGCAGCATGAATTCTCAAGTTGTAAAGGTGTAGAAAAGAGAAGGTTGAATAGGGTGCAAGTGATTAAGGAGTATCCTTTTGGGCTCCACTGATTTTTGTCTTAGCTTTGGGTTTTATGTCTGCTTAGCAATGATAAACTTTCAACCCAGGTTAACATCTTATTAGGATGAGTCTGATTTGATAATTTGACCTAGGAGGGTGCTGATAAGTGATTCTGTTTACTCCCAGCATTCACTTGCCTTTGCCCGTGTATAGTGCAAGACCTTTACTTATCAAGTGCTTACTGGTTTGTGCTCTATTTCTGTTGTCTTCATGTCTTTTTACTTTTTCACTTGTTACTATTTTCTGCCTTAGGCAAAGTATCACAAAGCAGAGACTCTATTATTCTCACTGCAATTCATTAATTTAATAGCACATGCACATAGATTATTAAGATCACAGATTTAGAGCTGGGAGAAACCTTAGTCCAACTCCACTTTTCAGATGAGGAAACTGAGGCCTAGAGAGAGGAAGTGACTTGTCCAAGGTCACACAGGTAGTTAGTGGTAAAGCCCCTTAGTTCCTATGACTCAGATAAATTGAGATATTTGTAAAGTGCTTACCACAATGCCTGGCACATAGTAGGTACTTAATAAATCCTCCTCTCTCCCCTCAGTTCCAAATACAGTGGGGGTTTTCCTGCTTTTGATGAAGAATATGACTTTGTCCACTAACTTGGGCAAAATTTTTGTGATCTTGTTTCTCTAAATCTATAAAGTGGGAAAATAATACCTATGATCCACTTAAAGTCATAGGATGAGCAGAGATAGATAAAATGATTTTGAAATCTCTGGTTAAATCACCTTATTAAATAAATGCCGCTATTGTGAGTGCTGGCCACAGAATACTGGATTAAGTTGAAACTCTGAAGGCTGAGCAAAAATGTCATTAAAATAGTTATTTGCTTTTTTGGTGCAGTAAGTAGGGTGTCTGTCTTAGAGAAGACAGCCAGATTTAGGAGTAGGTGTGTAATGCCTAAATGTCATCAGGGCAGTCTTCAGTAAGGGATCTTAAAAAATGCTTACTGGTTGATTAATTGATTAATTTGTTAGGTATTGGGATTTGTACTCCCAAAGAGATGGCATGGTGGACTATCCTTATTTTTTTTAATTTCTAAATGCAATTATAATTATCTTCTCATTCATAAATAGCCAGGTCCACTTATATTGATTTCTAACATAATGGTAAGAGCTAAAATGTGATTAGTAGGTTTTCACTCACTTGACATAAAAAGAAGGCCATTCAATATTAGCTAATTATAAAGAGATAATAAGGTAGAGATGAATCACCTGAAAATACATTTATATCACCTTTTTTTGCAATATCTCCTTGGTACTGTTGATCTTTTTTTTTTTTTTTTAATAATATCCCTATAAACCAATGTTTCTGATATCCCAATCTGTTGCTGTGGAAATGGTGGTGTCAAAAGTTCATCCATGAATGTTCTGTACCTTGAAGAAAAAAATAAAACTCAAAAAGACTTTTCAGAAGTACTAGAAAGAAAATTTCATTAAAATTTGAAATCCCTGTAAGATAATAACGTGCCTTCAAGAAAAAAATTACTCTTCAGATTTCTTCTAATTAACATACCCTTTACTAATAGTTTTCTTTTAGTCCTTAAGGGAAGCTGCTTGTTTAGTGTCTCTGGGAGCAGTGGTTTTGTTGGCCTTGGTATTCTTCACCCTGAGGCAGGGCACAAGCCTTCTCTGACATAGATGCTCTTTGAGACTTGCAGTGGCCAGTTCTGATCTCTGCCAGGGTCAACCTAGTGATGAACTTCTCCAGACATAGTTAGGCTGGTCCTTGGACAACAGAGATACAGTGTGATGCTAAGCCTGTATTCAGAGTCTTTCTAAATATGTAGGACCTGCCAGGGCTTATGCTTTTCTGGCCTAGAACCCAGACTTATCTCCACACTAGAATGAAATGTCAAAGAAGGACCATAGTGGAAGTCTGGAGGTACTTCAAGAGGGAAGTGGTTAGGTTTCCTGATTTATTCAGAATCTTATGAGTGAAAAGCATTTTTGTTTTTTTAAACTAAATTAAAATAAAATTTAATTTAGTATTTTGTTTTTCCCTAATTACATGTAAAAACATTTTTTAACATTCATTTTTAAAAATTTGAGTTCCAAATTCTTTTCCTCCATCCCTCCCTTCCTTTGCCCCTCATTGAGAAGGCAAGCAATTTGATATAGGGTTATACATGTATAGTCATGCAAAACATATTTCCATATTAGTCATGTTGTAAAAGAAAACATAGACCAACCCCCCCCCGAAAAATAAAGTTAAAAAAAAGTATGTTTCTATCTGTATTCAGACACCATCAGTTCTTTCTCTGGGGGTGGATAGCATTTTTCAATATAAGTCCTTCAGAATTGTCTTGGATCATTGTATTGCTGTATTGTATAGCTAAGTCATTCACAGTTGAGCATCTTGCAATATTGCTGTTAACTGTGCACAATATTCTCCTGGTTCTACTCATTTCACTTTGTATCAGTTCATGTAAGTTATTCCACATTTTTCTAAGAAGATCTAGCTCATCATTTCTTATAGTACGATGGTGTTCCATCACAATCATATACCACAACTTGTTCAGCCATTCCCAAATTGATAGGCATTCCTCAATTTCCAGTTCTTTGCCACCAGAAAAGAGCTGCTATAAATATTTCTGTAAATATAGGTCCTTTTCCTTTCTGTCTTTTTTATCTCTTTTGTGACACAAACCCAGTAAGTGGAAAGCATTTGGCATCAAACATTATTTTGTCTTTTTACTCTATTTTTGTCACGAAATGGTGATCCTTTAGGTGAGCTACCCACGAACAATGAGAAGAATATCATATCTAAAACAACTTGAATTTGTAGAGTAAGAAAAAAAGCCAGATGGGTGTGGTGGGGGAAGTGTATTGTCTTGAACAGGGAGAGCTTCTCATGATCTCATAGATTTGGAGTTAGAAGAGACCTTAAAAGTCATCGACTCCATTTTAACATATGAGGTAACTGAAGCACAGAGTATAGTTAAGCGATTTGCCCAAGAAGATGGGATTTGAAACCAAGTCTTACTGATTCCAAACTCAGTGTCCTGTCCTCTACATTATATTACCTTCTTTTAGAAACAATGTATTTTTTTTTAAATAGAGGATACTAAGGACTAGAATTCTGTATTAGAATTATAGGTACTTTCTGCAGAAAGAAGTAGAAGTTGGTCAGCCTTATCTTAAAAATTAACCAAATCTCACCATGTATTGCAGATGTATATTTCATTTTAAAAAATGAACTAGAAATCAAAAAGCCTCTTGGAAAAGAAAACCTAACAACTGGAAATTAATATTTTATTTTTGAGAATAAAACTTGGTATATTATTTCCTTTTTATAGGTAAACTAAGGCTTAGAATTACCAGTAATTGGTGCCCAAAGAGGGAGAAAAGGAAATATAAATATGTAACCAGTTCCAAAGTTTAAGCAACCGGACCACCTTCTTCTCTAACTAGCTAACTTGTTTAGGATGATAATTGAATGTATAATATTAAGGTTATATGTTGAAACTTATATCTATCATGAAAAGAAATAAAAACTTACTTTTTATGTGTTTATACTATGAATTATGATTTCTTAATTCATCAGTCTTACCTAACTCATGTCTTCTCCTTTCTTTCTCCATTTTAGCTCTTTTGGAGAGGAGTATGGTTTAGCTTTCTCCATGTTAACCATGAGTGTAACCCTGTCCCCCATGAGGTCACAAGAATTGGATCCTATGGCTACTGACGCTTCTCCAATGGTCATCAATATGACCCCTACAGTGGAGCAGGGTGAGGGAGAAGATGAGATGAAGGAAATGGATTCTGACCAACGATATGAGAAGCCGCCCCCACTCCATACGGGAGCAGACTGGAAAATTGTCCTCCACCTACCTGAAATTGAGACATGGCTGCGCATGACTTCAGAGAGGGTCAGGGATCTGACCTACTCAGTGCAGCAGGACTCTGAGAGCAAGCATGTGGATGTACATTTAGTGCAACTAAAAGTAAGTAGATTCTCTGAGCTGCATGCATTCAGATCATTTAGTAGAAAGTAAATTCCTTGAGAACTGTCTCACTTTCATCTTTTGTTTTCAGTACCTAATACAGTGCTTGGAGTATGATAGACGTTTAATAAAAGTTTGGTGACTGATCAATTGTTTGAAGCCTGTAGAAGTTTTCAAGGTCACAAACCTTGCAAATCCTCCCTTTTCTCCCTCTCCCTTCCCCTTTGTTTCCCTATTAACCAGGTTTCAAGTGCTGTAGATGGTCTCAGCTGACCCCATTGCTGATCATTGAGGAAGCTTTGAACTGCTTTGTTTCTGGTATGTGTCAGTTTGTCTCTCTCTAGTAAACCTGGTGGCCCCAGATTCCTAGTGGTGTACCGTATTGGTGCTGGACTTAGTTTGGCCACCATATTGACTTTAGCCTTACTGAATCTCAGAATTCTTAAATTCAGTTGATCCACCAGCTTCAGCTTCCTTTTATAGCGTGGGCTACCATGCTCAGTCCTATAAATCCTAAGGAGAAAAACTCCAAGGGGAAAAATGGAAGTCCAGCTGGTAAAAACAAATGGGTCTGATTTTACTTTCCTCCTAAGATCAGCCAGATGAAGATAAGATTAAATATTTCCTATTTGTGTGTGTGTGTGTGTGTGTGTGTGTGTGTGTATGTGTGTGTGTGTATACTTACAGCTATTCTGGAGTAAAATTGAGATGCTAAGGGCATATATGTAATTTCGTGGAAAGAAAACAAAAATAATAACTTCTCAAAAAGATGAACAAAATGTTTAATGAATAAAATGTTTGAGGTTTTATTGTGAGCATGTGGGCATACACGTAGGGTGCGTTTGTTGAAGTTTCTGTGTTAAAGTAACTGACCTGGTATAGATAGGCATGTGTGTGTTCTCTTTCAAATGAGTTTGTCCCCTCAGGTTATGATGAAAGTGTTTAACTTTAATTTTATCAATGGTCTGAATAAAGGCCCAGGGAGCAAGATTATCAGATTTGCCAGGGACATAAACTGGGAGGATAAGCTACCAGAGTGGACATGGCTAAGATCACAAAAGATCTTTATAGGCTAGAACTGATGGGTCAAAGCAAAATACTGTGTATGCTTTCACCCAATATGGCAAAACTAGGGTGAATGGATGAAAGTTGCAAAGAGGCAAATTTATATTAGATTTAAGGATAAACTTCATAATTGCCGTATGTATCAAAAAGTTAAAAAGAGCTATTTTGGGAAAGTAGTAATTTCCCCAGCATGGGAAAACTATAAGTAAAAGCTAATGGCCACTTTGGAGGAATTTCTTATTTAGATATAGGCCTGAGGTCCTTTTCAACTCTGAGATATTATGGTTCAAAGTAAAGGTCCTTTCATATTAACCAGTTGAAGGTTTGTCTGCCTCAGTTTCCTCATCTGTTAAATCATGATAATAATCCCACCTATCTCTTAGGGTTGTTGAGAGAATGAAATGAGGTGATATTTATAAAGTACTTTGCAAATCTTAGAATACCATATAAATCATCATTATTATTTTTGTCATTGTTTAACCTTGTGGTTTCTGGAATTTTTTTTTAATAACATGACAATGGCTAAAATGCAGGTCACTTTCTATAGCTTTGATAACATGAAGTAAAATTTCTTTTCTTCAGTTCAGTAAAGATTAGGATCCATGCCATAGGTTCATGGAGCTATAATAACTAGACTAGATACAGCATTATATTTTTAATGGAAAGCTCGTGTAACGTTCTTCCACTTTCCACAATTTTAAAGGAAAGAAAGAACAAGATATAAAGAAGAATGGAACAAAATGAGATGTGGGGGGGAGTTCTTTAGAATGGAATTTTTCTTGAATTGTATCTCTCCTTGAATAATGACAGGGACATTAGAAGTCATTTATTTTAACATTTATCCAAATAATGATGCTTATTTATAAACATCCAAGAAAAAAGTATTTATCCAACTTCAATTTCAGTATACTTAGTAACAGGGAACTCACTACCTGATGAGGCTGCCAATTCCATTTTTTGGACTGCTCTAGTTGTGGGTAAATTTTTCCTTATGTTAAACCAAAATCTATTTGCTTATACTTTCTGATACTAATCTTAGTTCTTCCTTCTGATTCCAACCAAAACAAACCTAATTCCTCTTCCACATAATAACCCTATAAATATTTGAACACTGGAATTATAAATACACCTCAAATCTTTTCTTTTGTCACTTGAAATGTTAAAATTGGGGCTCTTTCTAGAAGGAAGCAATAGCCTAAGACCCCTGAGGGGGAAAAGAGGAAGGGAATAAGTATTTATATAGCACCTACTATATGACAGGCACTGCCTAAATTCTTTATAATTATTACCTCACTTGATTTTCCCAACAGCCCTGTGATATATATGTACTGTTGTTATCTTCATTTCACAGTTGAGCAAACTGAGGCTGGAAGTTAAGTGACTTGTCCAGGGTCATATAGCCAATAAAGTGTCTGAGGCTGTATTTGAACTTCGGCCTTCCTAACATGAGGCCTAGAGCTCTATTCACTGCACAGTTCAGCTGCCTCTAAGCCCACTTAGAGGCTCAGAAGGTAGGAGAAAATGAATCCTGAAAGGAGGGATTTGCTAAAAATAAATTTCACAATTTTGCCGAAGACTGGCTTTGGCCCAATTGAGCACCAGTCCCTGAAAGCCAATATGAAAAACTCCGCAGTTATATATTGGATGAGTTATATATTGTATTGAGGTTGTCTGTCAAAAACCTTAGGGGAAGGGAACCTGCATCACCTTTAGTCTTACTTAAACTAGAGTGTTGCTCTACTTTGGTCCAGAATTCAAAGAAACACTGTGGAATTACCTCCCCCTGAGCTTTTTTGAAAGCTACTCAAGGGTCACTTGAGATAAGACTGGACCAATATAACCACTTCAGAAGAGAGCTAATTTCTCAGAATTAGTCACCTGGCTTTCAGGAATTAAGATGGCAAGACCTAGATTGAACAATTGTTCCCCTCATAGTTTTTGGTCATCTTTGTAGAAATAGTATTTAGTAATCCTTTGTGAAAACTATGGTCCTTAAACTAATTCTTTGCTTTTTTTTTTTTTACGATTTATTCTTTGATTATTGGTGTATAATAAAGACTTAATAAATGCTCGTCAACATACTGGCAATTTCGTGGAAATTTTGAAGGAAAGCAAGGGTACTTGTTCTCATGGAATATATTAAAAATTACATCTTTGAAAGTGTCCCTGCTGAGGATAAATCAGACATAATTTCTTTCTCTTCTGTATATTTTGGACTTATTCATATACTTTCCTGTTTGAAGGCAAGAGTTTGCATTTTAGTAACCAATTTCTTCTTTATACGTAGTGGTCCTTTTTGGGGTAACTATACTAAGGTGAATTAAAATATGAATTTAATTTTTATAATTAAGGCTAATTGTGGAAAATATTAATATTTAAAATGAATATTCCTGGTAAAATTTTGTGAAAACTTACAATACCAGCAATATGGCAATACTGGCAGTATGGGTAGAAGCTATGTCTTAAGCTGTGCTTTCATTGGGCAAGCTCTTTTTAATTATATTCTATTAAAGAGACAATTTAATGTATTATAAAAAGAAAATTAGTTGGGATTATATTACCAAATTGGATACAAATCAAGCAAGAGTAAATTTATGGAAAAATGTTTTGTGCCTTTTCTCAACACAAAAGACAAATTTATATATACACTCACACACACATATCATGGATAAAGACACAACAGAGGCTAATTTCCATAGCAAGGAATATTGATAGACAGATTCATGAATTAAAGTTGTATAGTCATGGGTAATAATTTGTTAGATTAAATAAGACCTTAGGCCTTCATTACAAACCTCATCTGGTAAGATTATTGACTGAGTCGATATGATTCTCTTGATGTGAAGAGTTACATGATTTTCATTCTTTTCCTTTCTCTACCACAAAGTGATTTTTTGGGTGTAAGTTGCTTGATTTCTGGAAGCCTCAATTTCCTCATCTCCAAAATGAGGAGGCTGGGCCTGACAACCTGTAAAGTGTCTTCTAGCTCTAAGCTCTTATGTTCTTACGTTCTAGTCACTGGTAGATCTGTCTGCCTTGAGTCTCTCCCCACTCCAATCCTTTCTCCATTCAGCCACTAAAGTGATTTTCCTAAAGCAGAGGTCTCATCATGTCACCCCTCTACTCGGTGAACTCCAGTGTTTCCTTTTGCCTCCAGAGGCAAATACAAAATGCTCTGTTTGGCACTCAGAGCCCTTCGTAACCTAACCCCCTAGAGCTTTCCAGTCTTCTCACATCTTACTCCCTGTACCTACTATTCCATCCAGTGACATTGGACTTCTGGTTGTTCCACCAACAAGAAACTCCATCTCTCTGCTCCAAGCATTTTCTCTGACTGTCCCCTATGCCTGGAATAATTTCCCTCCTCTGCTCTGACTACAGACCTCTCTGAATATGATTCTGCCTCCCTTAAATCCAATTCACACGCAAGTCATTACCCATCACTTCATGATGTCATTAGCCCTCTTTGAAAATGAAGGATGAATGATAACTGCTTGGCCTCCTTTAAGTCCTAAAGTCATTACCCATCACTTCATGATGTCATTGGCCCTCTTTGAAAATGAAGGAGGAATGATAACTGCTTGGCCTCCTTTAAGTCCTAACTTAAATCCTGCTTTCTATAGGAAGCCTTCCCTAACCGCCTCTTCATTCTAGTCTCTTCCCTTGTAATTACTTCCTCTTTATCCTGTACATAGCTTGCTTTGTGTGTATTTGTTTGCATATTGTCTCTCTTCCCCACCCCACCCCTTAGACTGTAAGCTCCTTGAAGGTAGGGACTGCCTCTTATCCCCAGCATTTAGCATAGTACCCTGCATATAATAGGCACTTAAATATTTATTGACTGATTTTTGATTGGTATGACATTGAACAGGTAGTTAAACTTAGACTAGAGGAAAATAAATAGGACTGTAAGAAATGAATGTTCTAATCCTAAA